AGTTGCTGCTGTGTGTCGACAGAGTAACGTAGAAGACTGATAGGACAGTTCAAATGACGGTACTGTCGTTTTGTAGGAATGTTCCTGGAATGTTCTTCGTGGATGATGCATTGAACCGAGAGTGTTCTCGGTATGTCGGATAGTACATTGGCCCGAGTTCCGTGTTTTGCGTGATCGGGTGGATGGCTTAGCGTGATGCTGCTGGGGTGCTGTGCACGCCCACCTCGCTCACTCCACCTTTTGACCTGTTCTCCCGAATCAAGGTCTCATCAATACAACATATTTTCTCCAGAAGCCACGAGTTTACCAGCACGCTAAGCGACAGCAATCAGTTGACTGATGCTTGTCCCCTCGGACTGTACGTCAAGACTGCACGGAGGAAGATTGATCACCTTGCTTCGTGATGAGTAGGCCTGCTGGGGATCATGTGGATGACCCATCTCGGGTGATTCGCAGAATGTTATTGGTGGTGAGAGATTGGATTCGATTGAGACACATTTGTCGCAGCTCACGAACATAATCAAGTCGCTTGTTGGGCAATAAGGTGATCAGGTGGAGTCCACTGTTGGTGCTGCTGCGCCGGGAAGCGGCGGAACAGAGTACGGGGCTGGTGCGCATCAATCGGATGCAACCAGTGGGACTGCGGGAGGTACGGGCGGCGATGCCCCAGTCCTTGGCATGTCCAGCGTTGGGGTTGGGAGTGGTAGTCCTGCAGGCGCAGGCTCAGGCTTGAACCCTAGTGCAACTGATGTTAATCGGGTTGGGAGTAGTGGTCTCTTAGGNGGGGGGGGGGGGGGGGGGGTACTCATAGTCGTGCATGCCGTAGTCGTCAGTGTTCGTGATAGTTGCTGCTGTGTGTCGACAGAGTAACGTAGAAGACTGATAGGACAGTTCAAATGACGGTACTGTCGTTTTGTAGGAATGTTCCTGGAATGTTCTTCGTGGATGATGCATTGAACCGAGAGTGTTCTCGGTATGTCGGATAGTACATTGGCCCGAGTTCCGTGTTTTGCGTGATCGGGTGGATGGCTTAGCGTGATGCTGCTGGGGTGCTGTGCACGCCCACCTCGCTCACTCCACCTTTTGACCTGTTCTCCCGAATCAAGGTCTCATCAATACAACATATTTTCTCCAGAAGCCACGAGTTTACCAGCACGCTAAGCGACAGCAATCAGTTGACTGATGCTTGTCCCCTCGGACTGTACGTCAAGACTGCACGGAGGAAGATTGATCACCTTGCTTCGTGATGAGTAGGCCTGCTGGGGATCATGTGGATGACCCATCTCGGGTGATTCGCAGAATGTTATTGGTGGTGAGAGATTGGATTCGATTGAGACACATTTGTCGCAGCTCACGAACATAATCAAGTCGCTTGTTGGGCAATAAGGTGATCAGGTGGAGTCCACTGTTGGTGCTGCTGCGCCGGGAAGCGGCGGAACAGAGTACGGGGCTGGTGCGCATCAATCGGATGCAACCAGTGGGACTGCGGGAGGTACGGGCGGCGATGCCCCAGTCCTTGGCATGTCCAGCGTTGGGGTTGGGAGTGGTAGTCCTGCAGGCGCAGGCTCAGGCTTGAACCCTAGTGCAACTGATGTTAATCGGGTTGGGAGTAGTGGTCTCTTAGGCTCAGGCTTGAACCCTGATGCATCTACAGTAAATCGTTCCTCTGTTGGTGCCGCAAACTTTGATTCGATCGGAAATGGGAGTGGGGCACCAGGTAGCCAGTGTTTCATTCCGCCCCCGTCTACTCCATCGAGTGAGTGGTGGGGACATGCCGCCAGTGGAAACACACTGATCCCTGGGGCCGGCATTTCAGACAGGAGAGAAGTTGGGTAGGAGCCCTTTTAAACTTCCCAAAGCTCCTGTTTTTGACGGGACTGATGTCTCGTATCCATCGTGGTCACAGATTTTTTTGCTGAGTGCTCGTCACAACAATCCGTATGAAGCGTTTGTGTCAACGCATGACATTCCGATTGCAGACATTGGATTCGACTTGACCCCCTCGGTACAGCAAGGATTAAGTGTGGATGTGCTACGCCAGGCAGAAAAGAGAACGCTGAGATGTCTGACATGGTGCTATTTATCAAACCATATTGAACAACTCGCACGATCTGACTTGTCTGGTAGCGTATTACGAAGTTATGCTGCTGGAGTGCTTGTCAAGTGATGACGCTGTTCGCAAATACTCTTATTCTTGTGAGGAAGGGCAGATGTTCGAAGAATGGCGTAGCGGACACGGTTACTGCTTTCCACATGACAGACTCTCTCTCTAGTATTAAGGATGCAAAGTCTTGGTATTAGAACGCATGAGGGTTTGATGGTGTGACTTGTCAGGTAGCGCTGTCTGGAACCCTGGAGTAAGTGTTTGTGATTGCTGACAGCGAGTGTTCTTTAGAGTTGGAGAAGGTGTGTGCAACCTCTTTTCTGCCAGCCCAGTGTTTGATGGCACGTCATGAAATAGCCTCGGTGGTCTTGATGGTATGATGGCTACTTTCAACGGAACAGTTATTTTTCAGAACTTCGATGGCAAAGTTGTTGCTACTGTGTATTGTCTGGGTGACACAACTGTTGGTTCGGTGTTAGCTGCCTTCCCTTCACCCCTCTAGACCCCAACGCAACGACGATGGATGTGAACGAGTTTCATAACGTTTATGGTCATTCACATGAGGGATTGCTTCGAACAACTGCAAAGCGACTGGGTATTGAGTTGACTGGTGAAATTCATGCGTGTACGGGATGTTCGATGTCGAAGACATTCAGGGGATTGCTAAAAAAACTAAACGCAGATAAGACAACAAGTTGGGCAGAGTTTTTGTAGACCTGGGAGGACGGAAGGACGTTGCGTCTGTAGGGGGTAAACATTACCCCATGATAATGAGGGATGATTTCGCTAGACGTACATGGCTGTATTTCCTGAGAAATAAATCAGACGCCGGGGGTGCTTTCAGAAGTTTCCTTGCAAGTGTACGTGCTGATGGTATCCAATCATTGGTTGAGATTGTTAGATCTGACAATGGGGGGGAATTTTCGGAGGAGAATTTGCGTCCGTGTGCAACGAGCTCTTGATTAAGAACGAGTTCACCCCGGCTTACAGTCCCCAATACAATGGTGTTGCAGAGCGTGGTTTGGGATTGATTGAGGCGGCTGCAATGTCCGCTCGTTTTCAGGCAACAGCTTTTGTTTGGGCATGTGCAGTTACCTAAGACTGACAGACTCTGGGCTGAGGCCATGCACTGGGCTTGCGAAGCACTTAACCACACAGCTTGTTCCGCTAACCCAGACAGCAAGTCACCGTCTGAAATGTGGTATGGTGAAACTAGTCACGCTAGACCAATCCATTTTTGAAACCGGCGTGCTGTAGGTGGCAGCGTCCGTCTGAGCTGCTAACGAAGGGTGAGGGTTGCTTTTATGTCGGTCCTTCGAGAGACCACCCGCGTGATTGTCATAAGAGTACTGACGAGGGCTGGAACTATTCAAGAAACGAGGGATGGGACATGGGAGGCATCGCCGTCACAACTCCCTCCACCGCAACCATCTCTGCCGATAGAGATACCAGAGGAGGGAGGGGAGGAACATGACAACGATGTAGAAGCTGAGGTATGGCCGCTTTTAGGGAGAGGAGTGCCCCACATTCTTTTGCGACATGATGTAGCAGTCTCTGGTGGAGCAATCGATGAGGTTGGCAATGCTGATGCAGGCAGTGTAGGTCAACCCCCCTCTATGCCATCTTCGCCCGCGATCAATTCCCCTAGTAGCGCAGCTCCCCCTCTCTGTGTCTTCTCCAGCAGACGAGTTCGCCGATGAGAGAGGGCAGGGAGGGCCGGAGACGGGAGGCAGAATCGGCGGGTCCGGGAGGGCAGGAGGTAGAATCGGAGACATTTCCCCCTGCTACGCACGTACCATTCAATCGTCGTGCGCGGCATGAGCTTGCTAGTTATAACACTGCTGTGAATGAGAATGTTGAAGTCAGAGAAGGCAGAACCCGTGTGAAAACTCGGGCAGTAAACCAGCAGAGCGTACCCGGCCTCATGGCCACTCTAGGACCCATCTCTGCATCAGAAATAATAGAGGCACTCTTAGTGGAACAGAGAGCTGATGCAATGGAATTGCCGAAGGTGCTACTTCAAGACGTAGAGTCAGGAACCGGGTAGCTAACAAGAAGCCCAGAGTCAGGAACCAGGTAGCTAACAAGAAGCCCGCCTATCGAAGTATTCCACGATTTGGGACAAGGCATGTCTGCAGAATTTGAAGGCTTGTTAAGAGCAGGAACGTTCGCGTTAGCAGAAAAGGCTCCAATAGGTTGCAACGTGATAGACGCTAGATGTGTCTACAAATGCAAAGCAGATGAAACAGGCAAGATAGCGAAGGCCAAGGCTAGGCTTGTAGCGAAGGGCTTCAAGCAGAAGATGGTGTGGATTATATTGAGACTTTCTCGCCTACTGCAAATGCTGCATCAATCCGTTTGGTATTATAGTAGCATTGGCGCGCAAGTATGACTTGCAATTTCTCCACATCGACATTGAGCAAGCGTTTGTTCAGTCGGAATTTGATCACGAAGTGTTCATGAAGTTACCTCCTGGCTGCGAGTCGATGACAGGAAAGGTAGTCCGTTTAGACAAAAGGTTGTATGGACTGGGACAGGCACCTAGAACATTTCACAAGAGACTTGTGTCGGACCTGAAAACGATTGGTTTCGAACAGTCTCTGTATGACCCCTGTGTTCTTCGTTTCATGATGGGAGGCACCTAGAACATTTCACAAGAGACTTGTGCCGGACCTGAAAAGGATTGGTTTCGGGCAGTCTCTGTCTGACCCCTGTGTTCTTCGTTTCATGATGGGAGACGAGGTGTTGGGTATGACTGCGATTCATGTGGATGACATGCTGTATGCAGGAATTGAGAGGCCTGCCAAGATGGTTGTGGAAGCGCTATGTGACTCTCTCACCACGAAGAATTTGGGCGAGGTCAAGTTCTTTCTTGGTTGCGCACTTGTTCGCGACCGCAAGGCTGGTACGATTGAGATGTCTGAGGAGAGTTACGTCAGGAGTGTTCTTGTGAGATTCAATAATTGTAGCACCAGCTCGATCCCTGCTTCCCCTACTAAATAACGATTACAGGTCCCTAATGGAGAATGAGGGGGCATGAGATGTGCTGTTCCGAGAGGTGGTGGGGAGCCTGATGTGGATCGCCAACCAGACGAGGCCCGACATGTCAAATGTTGTGCGGGCAGTGGCGAGGCACTCTCACTAGCCAAAGAGAAGCCACTGGAAGGCGGCGCAGAAGATTCTGATTTGTCTCTGGAGACGGCACATCTAACTTTGAAGTACAAGCAGGACACTATGGTAGACGTAGGTACGTTGGTGTGCGTAGACGCAGACTTCGCCAGAAAGGCCACTGACCGTAGATCAGTTTCGGGAGCACTAGTTCTTGTAGCTGACTGTCTTGTTGCTTGGATTTCTAGGACGCAGAAATGTGTCACACAAACAACAACTGAAGCACAGCTCAGTATGTTGCGATGGGTGACGGTGTAAAAGAGGCTCTGTTTGTCAACGGAATACTCGAGCTTGAGGCCTAGTGGGAAGCTTGGTAAGATCCACGTACGCGAGGACAACGAGGGTGCGATTGCACTTGCTGAATCCCCTTCCCTCGTGTAACAGCAAGCACAATGACGTACGGCACCATTTTCTTAGGAATTTGACGGAGGAACGAATGTTGGGAATTGGTCATGTCTCTAGCGAAGGACAGCATGCGGACATCCTCACGAAGGCTCTGCCGAGAGATCTCTTTGAAGTTCATCGTAATTTTACTCAAGGCTCGAGATCTGAGAAGTAGAGGTCTGAGTTGTGTTTTGATTTTTCGTTTTTGTTTCTCTGAAATATATTTGGTCTGGTCGAGACAACAGCCCTAAGGGAGAATGTTCGTGACAGTTGCTGCTGTGTGTCGACAGAGTAACGTAGAAGACTGATAGGACAGTTCAAATGACGGTACTGTCGTTTTGTAGGATTGTTCCTGTTCTTCGTGGACGATGCATTGAACCGAGAGTGTTCTCGGTATCTCGTATAGTGCATTGGCCCGAGTTCCGTGTTTTGCGTGACCGGGTGAATGGCTTAGCGTGATGCTGCTGGGGTGCTGTGCACGCCAACCTCGCTCAATCCACCTTTTGACCTGTTCTCCCGAATCAAGGTCTCATCAACACAACATATTTTCCCCAGAAGCCACTAGTGTACCAACAGATAGACCGTTGACCTCGCATCCCTACAAAGCCGGGACGTAGCACGCCGGGTTCTCACCGGACCAAGCTCTCACACCACCAAGCGCGAAGTGCCGTGGGATATTCGGCGAGTCGCATGAAGGGTGCGCTGCATCCTGCTAAGGGTGTTCGGCATCTTGTGCTTACTTCCTTGCGTACGGATGACAGCTGCGTATGACTTGATTTATTTTCTGGTGCTTTCACTTCCAGAGACAGTTGTAAGCACTGTGTAACTGCCTCGAGGGTGCTTGACCATTTTAACACAACGTGGTGCGATCATCCCTCTTGCGCGGAGTAAGGGTTCTCCACCCCGCACAACATGATCCCATCGACCGCCATTATGGTTACCGCCAAAAAAAAATAGGGGATAAAAAAAAACGGTAACCTGGTTGCCGAGCTCGCGAAGTGAATTGGCTAGGTTTTCAACGTCGTTGCCAAGCGGCGAAAACCCAATCCCGATGGCAAACACCGACGGGGGGGGTGCGTTTTACAA